TGGCGTCAGGAACATTCGGTGCAGACTTTCTTGAACTGACTATCCACGTGCCTTTGCACCAGTTCGTGGACTTCCCCACTAGGTATATGGACAACCAAATACCATCTACTTCGATCTGGTTTTCGCTAAGTCCCTCGACTTCGCGACTGACGTTTCGTACGGTGCACTTCCAGGGCCCAGCAAGTACACATGCATATCTTTTCGGTGTGCATTTTTAAGACACCAACAGATCGCCGCTGAATTACTTCCGAATATTTGGCGGGCGGACTTTACTGCAATACGAGATAAGGCTTCAGTTCTTAACTGTGAGATCACAATGGTCGACTCCGTCCAGTTAGCCTGGGATAAACTTAAGGTATACCTTCCGGAAGTTTCCACTCCCAATGTTCCACTCATGAGGAAAAGAGTGTTACGGGCGCTGCCTTCATGGATAGATACCACAGGCAAGTACCTACTCAAGAAACGGTCTAAATGCTGTCGAACCTACCAAGCAGCTCCAGCAGCCAGTACCTATGATAGTTCTCGATAGATTAAAAGTAAATGTAAGCAACATCTCAGGACTGTTCATCTCCAGTACGAGCATGGTTTAGCGGACTCGGCCCCAACTAATCCCAAGAAGTTGTTACTGACGTTAAAAGACGCAGCAGGGCAAAACTGTCTATATCAGTGTTATTACGAGCAGACGGGACCCGTGCACAAACTGACTACGATAAGACATACATACTCAGTGGTCAGTGTACTGGGGTCTTTGCTCCGGAGATCTCTTTATTACATTTTGGATTGGTTGCAAGAGTCCCAGAGGATTCTTGCTTGGCTGAGTTTAACATAACGGAGACTCCGGTCTTCGAGTCAATGCAAGGCTTTAATCCCTCTAAAGTTTCCGATCCTGATTAAATTCATCTGAAGCTGTTGCACGAATTGGCCACTGAGCTGAGTGGTCGTCTCACATGCGTGTTTTCAATATCGCTTGACAGTTGCATCCTACCTTCGGAATGGAAGGAAGCAATCATCTGTCCGAATTTTAAGGGCGGTGACAGCTTTCTGCCCGCGAACTGCCGGCCGGTCAGTTTGACAAGCGTAGTAGTCCATTTGTTTGAAAAGTTGATAAGGGATTCAGTGGAGAACCACCTGAATAGATTCAGCCTTGTCAGTGTTGTGCAACATGGATTCCGCAAGGGATTTTCATGTCAGACTAATCTAATTGTAGCTCGAGAAAGCTGGGCCGAAGCGGTAGACAGTGACCACGCTGTAGACGTGTTATTCGTGGACTTTTCGAAAGCTTTTGACACGGTTTCTCATCTTCGACTCTCACTAAAGTTGAGATCTTACTGTATATCTGGTCACGCCCTTCAATAGGTGTCTGCCTTCCTTGATAGGAGGGAACAGTGCGTACGGGTGGGGCGTAGTCTTTCGCTCAGGCAAGCTGTCCTTAGTGGTGTCCCGCAGAGCGTCTTATTGGGGCCATTGTTGTTCGCAGTCTCTGTAAATGACTTGCCGGGAGAGCTAACAGTGTCATCACTAATGTTTGCTGACGACCTTAAGCTCTGGAATATCGTGAATATCCCGGGGGTCCTGAGGCAATTCAGTGTGCCTTGGATAGACTCTGAGAATGGGCTACCTTATGGTTGATGCCCATAAATAGGGGCAGGTGTTCTGTTCTCCGAATCGGAGCTGCTAATCCTCCCACCCGCTGTGTTGTCGGCGGTGATGAATTCCCTGTTGTCACTCAGCAGGTTGATGTAGGAGTCGTACACGCATCAGCACTTCATTCTGGAGACAATTGAAAGAAGGCTGCTAGTCGGAGGTTTCGTTTGATGTGGTTTGTCTGCCGCTCTTTTGGAATCCTAACGGCCAATTTTTTGTGAAATTATTCTCGGCATCCGTCCGACCCCACCTGGAATATTGTATCCAGGCTTGTCCACCATGTCTTCACCGAGACAAAATAAACTTGGAGAGGGTGTTACGAGTGGGCACTTGGTTAGTGCAGGGTCTACGGGGACAGACGTATCATGAACGCTTGCTAAGTTTGGGGATGTACTCCATGCACTACCGAAGGATAAGAGAGGACCTGATTCTCACTTATCGTATTTTGACGGGTAAGATTGGCCCGGACTTGTCAGGGCTATCTAGTCCCGCTACTGTACCTAAGCACGTCGGTCACCTACTAAAACTGCATAAACCACTGTATGATAGGATTAGGACGGAAACTCGTCTGTCGCGCCGAGTTATAGCTAGCTGGAATTCGCTTCCAGTTCACGTGGTTAGGGAACCTACGATTAAGGGTTTTGCGCGCCAGCTCCATGCTCTTGGGTTGTAACACCAAACTTTTCCTTTTTCCTAACTGAACCACCTTCACTTTTCAGTTCTTTCATCAACGATTCAAATATCGTGATATTCCACTTGCTTAGCTCTTTGCACTTTCTCTTTTTGCCTTCTGAATTTACTTTTTTCTCTTTCTTACTTCACGCAATCGGCCCAACAGGAACTACAAGGGTAGGATACGTGGGCATTAATCGGTTGGACAACGCGTGATGCGGTCTTTGTTTTAGATCCATCCGTATTTCAAAGTCTGCCAACTCCTGTTTCAACGACTTGCTGAATAAGGAACACTCACGGGATAATCCTATCGTTCCAGTCCCGCTTGAACTTGAATTTGACAAGGAAACAGCCGACTTAAAAGCCCCAACAGGCCTACATGAATTATCGGTCTACTCGTGGATTGGCAGATCCAATACAACACTGACGATCAAGCTGATCTGGTAGATGAAATGCAGCATGGAGTGTGTTATTTCGTGCACACCTGACCGTATCCATTTATCACTGGATTGGGCGCACCGAATACACCTTTCCGGATGAGTAACCAAACCATGCAGAAGGAATGATGGTTTAGTCTTCTGAAACACACTTTCTAGGCACTACTTGACAAACTCGACGGTCACGCTATGTAATAACCAGCGTACACGTACCACTGGCAATGGCTAACACATTTCCGCTGGTATCGGGTCAAGGCGATTGGAGCACGCAAGTGTTTGGCATGCTTTGCTGCTCGGTCTTAGTTCACGGGACGTCAACGATGCCTGATCATTTAAGCTCACCAATCAAGCTCAAGTCTGGACAAACGATGATGCTGAACGGACGCGTTTAACATTCACACACACGCACACAGTACAGTGCAATGGGCCCGTCAGAAGTACCAGTGTGGCGTGCGTTCCCAATATGTGCGGTTTCAGAGTAGAAGGCAGACATGTAACTGGGACACACGATGACCGCCGCGCGTCTCCATGCTCTGCGTGCGTACGTATGCGCAAATGCGCACGTGCGCACTTCTGTGATGCGAAACGCAATCAAGCGGACCGTTGGCTTCGGGACGATTGCGTTGTCCAGGTCTACCAAAGGTGCAAGCCATATCTGGCATCCTAAGACAAGCACCCCAATATGACACTGTCTACCAGGGGTGTTATCACACTGGGTCACCTAATCCTAATCGATGAACTACAAATGTGCCCTTGCGTGACATGCCCAAGGTACACAGACACGCGCGCAAATACGCGCGCACGCACACACCACGTGCGCTGTGCCCGTGCGTAGGTGCGTGGTTCACGATCCGTGTTGCTGTACCCCCGAAACCAAACTACAAATAGGAATAATAACAGACACGTGCGGTACGCGGTGATGTTCACTGGCTTGTCTAAATTCGACGGAGCACACACAAAGCACACACAAAGCAAGTGCCGGCGTCACG